GGCATCATCCATGTTTGATTACAAGCTGAAACTAAATTTACTATAAGTTTTTATCTATGTTGGCATGCATGACAAAATCAAGACAACAACAAACAAAAAAAAAGATATGGTCTACATAACATAAATGTAACTGTAACAGCCGGTGTATTCATTTTGCAACTGTAGGAATGATCTATGATACAGTTTTAAATGAGAGCAATGATGTATTTTTGCGTAAGTGCCAAACTCTGCTTTATTTTTAATCTACTTCACGGGCCATAGATAAGGATCTCAACAAATAGTGACGTGTTCTAGCAACCGCTAGAACCAAAACAGCTGTCTGTGCAAAACACAGATGGTCCCCAGGAGCACCGCCCTTCTATTCCTTCTACATGTGTTGAAACTTTTTGTTTCTTCTTTATGAACGGTCTGTTGTTTCTTGCTGGTCGTGTCTGACAGAGGATTGGTCAAAATTCATCTGAATTACCTATTTCCAAGAAGAATAATTTTTTTTATTTTATTTTATTTTTTTACATCCTGGAATTGTAAATATATACAACATAATATATTACAGCTGTTAATTGCTGTTCTGCAATGCCATGAAACCAGGATGTTTGCTTATGCTGGCTCTAGTCTGGACATGTCGTGCACAATGCAGGTTGGATGTTGTCGGGGTTTTCTACGCAGCTTTCTTCTGCCTACATGGCAGAATAACAATGCAACAGAAGACAATGATCATCCTCTGGAACGACGTCCCGGCAGACGCGTCCGAGTGTTTTACTGCTAGCTATCAAGCAACGGTTTGGCAACAATCCTCGCCCATCCTAACGCCTAATGAGCACCAGAGAGACTGACTAAAACATGAGACCAACAGTGTAGGATGAAAACAGAAGCCCGTCTGAGAGGGTGTGTCTGCAGTGAAAGCTGACCCTGAAGGCATCGTGAAGCCGACAGACTTCATTGATGAAGAATTCATAGCGCTTACTGGAGGAACGGCAGCTACAGTAGCAGTTACTGCATTTGATGGGGGGGTAAAGCTATTTTTCTGGGAACATCCTTTCTTACTCTTCTGCATCCTGACATTCTTTGGTGAGTCCATAGGTTTTCAGTTATGTTTGAATTAATCCAAATCAATAAAATTATCTTGATATCAGAAAAACAAGCTGTTATTTAGGAAATTCTCATTTCAGGGTTTCTTTTCGAAGATCAACTAAATTTTAAGACCATTATGAATAAAATATAAGACCTGCATCACAACTAATGTACAAAAGAAAATCCCATCTTTATATCTTCATATGTATTGCTTTGGTTGGCAACAGAAGTGAGCTAGCGGCAAAGATGAACGTCGTTCAACCAACGGCCAATACATTTGAACTTACCAATGATAGACACATGACAGTTAGCTAGCTAGCAAGGGTAAATTAGTGGTATCATCAACCACCTCGATTCACAGAAGGAAGTGAAGATGTCTGCGTGCGACTCAAACTGTTGCCTGAGAGATAAGTCCCGAGCTGAGACTAAATAGAGCTGCTACGACAACACTTAAAACCTGCTATTAATGTACTTAAGGCCAAGACATTTTAAGGTCTTAGTTTTAGATAAATGAATATAAGACATTTTAAGGATGTGCAGACACCTTGCATTTCTATTATTATTATTTTGAAATTTTAAACAAAAAAAATTGAAAGAAAAAAAGAAGCAAGCAATAACTAAATTTTATAAAATTGTCCATCTATTAAATGTTCACCCAGTCCTATTGATTAATGTGCAAACAATGATACACCGATATACAAATCAATTTCGCCGAAGCTACGTTGACATGTTACAGGAGGAATCTGGAAATTAAGCTACAACTTTAAGATTGCAAGATGACCACTCTTCCCACCAAGTCGCCTATTGGTACTACTGATTCAACAGGAAGTATTTCCCAACAGCAGAATACGGTGGGCAGTGCCTAGCAACCAGTAAAAGAGGTGACAATGCTGTTTAAATTGTTACACATTACTTCAACTCATGAAGTAAAGTGACACAGACACTTTTACTGGATCAAAATTTCCAAACATAACAAGGATAAAAGGGAATACAACCAAACAATTGGTCATATCAAATCAAAGAATCAACTATAAAGCTCCTCTGTGGTGTAACCTGGCGCACCCTACTGTTATACTGTGTGTTAAAATCCCTACACTGCTCTGTCTTTAGCAGCCAGGATAAGGGGGTAGCTCAGCTGTGACCTGCAGTGATTGATCACAGATTATTTCCATCAGTAAAGGAAGCCTTGCTTTTACTGAGAACCATCACAAACTGGTTTTCTCCTCCCAAAGAAATCTGCCCACATTTTTATCATATTCATCTTGGATTGGAGAAAAAAGAAAAACAGAACACGAAGAGATTAGTATCATTAGCTTGGCTTCATTCTGATGGTATTTTTAACACAGGAGACAATTTTGATTCTTAATCTGATGGGTTTTGATTGAACTGACACTGAAATATGATGAACGATTTTTTTCTTCCATATAATGTCTAAAACAGAACAGTACTCCTAGCAATTATATAATATATTTTATATATACACTTGAAAAGTTTTTATTTATGTTTTGCTTAGGTTCATGTAGCTCAGTTTAAGAAATATTACGCATATGCTAATATTTGATTGCCCAAATTTGTGTTTATCTGGAAACAAATGTTTAGCAATGAGCAATCTTTATTTTTTTAAAAGAAAAGTTAAATATTTATACTTAACATTGACAGGATCTTGAATTGATTACGCACCAAAATTCTGCATCTATTCCATTTCAACTGCAACAACAGTGAGACTACAAATATAAGAATGTGAACCACTCATGTAATATTACAATATACAACATTTTCATAACATCCAGCTATAACAAAGTGTTCCCAAACACTTGGCGACAAATTGCACAACAAATCTTACCAATGGTCATAACATATTTGGATGGTTTACTTGAAACAAAATCATAACTATTCCTCCAGCTTTACCATATGACTTTTATCTGAGGTCCATAAGAATCAAATATGAACTCATGAAAACTCTTTTAATTAAAAAAAAAAACTGTGGCCTTTTTCATCTCAAAAGAAACCACTTTAACATATATTTTTATACTTTTATACATTTCTTTTCTCTCAGGGTCAAGGAGGTTTTGCTTTCACTCTTCGGATTGTAACGTTTCCTGCATTTTCACCAACTCTGTGAAAATGCTGATCTGAATCCATCTCATGTTTATCCATCAGTCCTGCAGGTCTGGCTGCTGGTAATAAAACCTCCGTCAGGAGTGACTGAACAAGAGCTTTACACTTCATGCATCAAGGTGTGGCTAAGCAGCGCAGCATTAAGCAAAAGAAGCATCTGGCTTCTAAATGTAAATTTATACTGTTTGGTCAAAGATACATGCTTTTTTTGATATTTTTAATTGGAAATGTATTAACGAAAGTCCAGACAGATGAGGATGGTGATCAATATAAGCTGATTTCCATAAGAAAACTGACATGACTAAAAAGGGAGATGCAAGGTTTCTGCCCCACAGCGATGATGCAAGAATGCTAGGCATGTTGAATCAAGCAAAGCCAAAGTGTCCTGCTGTCTAAACAAGTCAAAACACACAGTGTGGGATTATTGATTCCTGCATTAATCTCAGGTCTAATTCCACCTGCCTTCAGATTTGCTGCTTATTATTCGGCCCGGAAATCAAACAGAATTCTGAGGCTTATTCTGACAATCAAAGAGCGAGGCGGGAGAAGCTTCTGGCGCTGAGGTTACGTCGCCCTCTGCTGACGACCCCGCCGCCCTGCAGGCTCCTCTCGTTTCGCACCCTCTGTCCCTCCCAACACATCTGGCATTCAGAACAAGCCGCTGACCCAGACCGCAGCCCAGGAATAAGCCGAGCCACTCCAGTCTATGGCTGCAGAGGAATCCGTCAGTCAGCAACATTTGGGAGCAAAGCTTCGTCTAGCTAAGGATTGCATCCATGTGTTCGGAGGCTGAGCAGACAGGAAGGGGGAGAGCAGGCTCCCCTCCCGGGACAGAGCAGCAGAGAAGACCTTGTTGATCTTAAAGCGGTCCTAACATTCATTCGGGTCTTCAACACCATATGGGGATTTAATAAAAGTCGGAGAGCCACTCGGCCTACAAGGGACACACTGGATTCTTGCTGTCCCTCAAAAACATTTGGTGAAGTTATTCACTGACCTAATAGGCTGGAAGGCCTGACTTTTCTCAAATCACAACATTGCCAACATTTGACCAGGAAATATGCACACTGTAATAACCTCTGTAACGCTTTCTGAAATCATCCGCGCAGCAATCCTGACAACGACACAAACTAAAAGAGGCCCGGGCTTTATGTCAGTAAAAATCAATCAGATCTCGTCGCCATCGGTTTTTCTGCTCATTTTGCTCTTAATTATCTGTAGTAACATCACACAAGTCAACTTCTCCTAACCTTTTTCGCATTATTTATATTCCTAAACTCACATTTTCTGCCTTCAAAACAGGATTTGTTTGCATATTGCTCTGCTGCAGTTAAATATTTGGGCCAGATTTGAAAACACCAAGTTGGTTTTAGTGAAATTTGGCAGCAGTAATAATAATTTAAAGAGATGCAATCAGTTTATAAGGTGGGCAAGTTTATAAGGCGTGGTTTGATTTTACTGTAAATTTCAGCTAACATGCTATGAAAACCAGATGATCTTCGGATCAGAAACTTTAAATTTACAGACGCATAAACCACAAATCCTCGACGGAAATAAGACAAATCCAAATCAGCTACTCCGACCACGCCTGCACAACATATAAAAACACTTTAAAAATGATTAAAAATAAACACATTAACTGTGTTTTCATAATAGTCAAAAATGGCTTTTGTTCTTCCACAGCCTCTTTCCTCTGCCTTTGGTCTAAAAATAAATAAAGAAAAAATCCTTCTGCCAAATGCTACCTGATGCGTTTAAAGACACACTTTATCATCAAAGCCACGTTTACAACAAGGAGATTCTCATCGTACCGTCGAGGAGTCCGGTCCCTCTGCTGGGCCGCTTTCTTCCTCCCCCGTGCATTTCACAGCGTCCTCGGGTTTGTCGACTTCCACCTCTGGAGAAATGCATGCAAACACAGCACAGTCAGTCCTACAGCACATCTTCAGAATACACAAAGAGCCCGTGTTAAAAGACTTCCAAAGGGCACGTTTCCAGCATCTGTTAATAAGGCTGAAAAAAAAATACAAGAAAATACAAGAAAATGTTCTCAAAAGAAGATAAAAAAAAAACGTTGCTCCTATTCCTAAAGTAAATACGATGTGTTGAATATGAGAGGAAGTGAAAAACTATGGACAGAAAAGGGGAACCGACTACGATAAGATGTCCAAAACGTTGATTTACAACCTGAGAAAAATCAGAGACCCTGTCAGTGACGTTCCAGGGGGTCGAGGCCGCTGTCGCGCTGTAAATTTATCGTCCCACTTCACAATGACACGCCGCTGCGGAAGTGACGCAAAGCACCAACCTCGCCCTATTTACCTGTCTCTATTCTGCACAGTTATTTCAGAGAGAAAACTGCACACTGGAAAAGTGTTGGAAGTTCACTGATGAGAGACTTTTTAAAAGTCTCACTTCCTGCTCCAAACACACACACATACACACACACACACCAGCTGGCCTGGGAGTGTTTGTTTTGCACAATCCTGCCTCTTAGCTGTGTGTCTGAGAGCTAGTCACGTGCGGAGGTAATGTGACTGCCGTCTGCTGACATATGCGACGCCCTGCAGCCAGAACAATGCATGTAATCACATTAAAAGTGCACATCGAAAGTACTGATACCCCTTGAACATTTTCCCACTTTTGTGAGGCAACAACCGCACATTTTAACGCGTTTCATGTGACAGGTCTGCACAACCAGAGCACAGTTGTAAAGGGGAAGGAAAACGACGGCGGATGCTTCGTAGAAACACTTTTAACTTGAGAGCTTTGTACATCTAAAGATGGAAATTGTTGCTCGTTTTCTTTCCCAAAATCAGCTCCAGCTTGGTCAGATGGGATGGAGAGCATCAAAGTGTTGCCGCCTGCCAAATCTGTTGAGGATAAGACTAATAGTTGTCCTGTCACCTGAGCTGTAGATCTCCATAGTTACCATGGATCTCTTGGCTGCTCCTCTCATTAATGTGCAACAGATGAGCAACGCAGGGCTGCAGCTAATGGTTATTTTAGTAATGGACTATTCCACAGAATATTCTGACTATTAATCGTATAAAAAAAAAAATACACTGGAACAATCTGCAGATCTTTATACCGAGCCTTTTGTATACAGTGAAATAAACAATTCAATTCCTTTTTTTGAATAATGAAACAAACATTTTATTGCCTAAAATGCAAAAACCTAGCATTCCTTTAAGTATACGCTTGATCATTTGCAGCATAGGATGCAGTGGCAGCTAGAAAAGAAAAAAAAGACTTCTAACATCATGTGAAAAGCTCAGTCCTTTCTGCTTGACCTAACATCATTACAGAGTAGGGCTAATCCGTTATGTTTTTATTATTCGTAACTGACATTTGTTTTTAAGAAAAATTGAACCACGTAGCCACAGTTCTGGGTTGAAAAACGTTTTTTATACATCCCAAATGCAAAATGCATATCTCTGTTGTCAAGTTTTGGCTTAATTCCTGCTCTGAGTGTATTGTTCTTTCAGCAAATTGCCCTTTTTTTTGTCCAATTCTAAATTAGTATTTTTTATTTCAGAAATCAATTCATTGCGATTAATCCGATTAATCTGATTAGTCATTTCAGCCCCAGAGCAACGCTCTGAGGGATGCTTGCATCCCGTGTGGTGTGACGTGTTCCTTGTCCTTCGAGAAGTTGTTTGTTCACTAATGCTTTCTATGAAACCTCTGAAGCCTTCACAGAACAGCTGGAGATACCGAGAAGTACTGACATACAGACTGACTCTACTGATCGTTTAAGTGGCTTCTTAGAACAATTCAAGTTGCACTAGATTTTATTTGGAGGTTTCACAATAAAAGGAGTTGAATTTTTTTTTTTTTTTACTTTTTGCTTCCTTCTTTCATTCACTTCAGAGATCTGCACTCCTTTATTTTCTTGTCAAATGAAATCCAAATGCATTATGTTCAAGTTAGTGGTTGGAATGTAACAAAACGTAGCTAGAGGAGTATTGAAGCTTTTGCAAGGCCCTGTATGAATATAGTTGTTCGCAGTGGATCTCAGAAGCTCAAGAAGTAAGCGCAACAGGTCTTAGCGACAGTGATATATCAGCAAGATGTCAGAGATATGCTAAAAACCCACTCCGACCACAATTAAAGCGAGCTGCATGGCATTTAACTTAGCAGAGCTTTTCCCATTAATCAAAAGAAAAGCACTGAATCGGATTTAGAAAATGAGCTTAGGAATGAAACATTGACAAACAAATCACCCCGTGATGCATGAGGGTGCAAACCTGAAATAAAACCAATGAGGAAAGTAAATAAATCAGCGTTTCCAACCTGGGTCTGCAGTCGCGCAGCTCTCCGTCGCTCCATCCAGTGAATCAGCAGAGTCTGGGTTGGCAGCCATCTGATCCTCGACGGGAGTGTCCACAGATGACTCAGCGACAGCAGCAGGTGATTCCAGTTCCAAAGAGACACCATCTACAGTGTCTGAGGGAGGCACGGCGTCCTGTGCTGAGATGGGGAGCTGACCCTCAGCCGACCCCGTGTCCTCAGCCTCCTTTAAGTCATCCTGTTCAGGCTGCGTTTGTACATTCCTGCTCTCCTCTGCTGCCTCTGGTTTATCATCGGCGTCCGTCTGTCGATTGTCTTCAACGGGGCCGTTAACTTTGACCTCTGATTCAGACTGGATGTCAATATTCCCATCAGAGCTGGAGGACTGCCTGATATCACCTTCACCAGCTTCTGAAGTAGGGACATCCTCACTGACTAAAGGAATTGGATCCAACACTGAATCCTGTTCAGGAGATTCTATAAGCAGTTCCTCACAACTTTCAGGAATCAAGCAATCCATTGTCTTTAAGTCGTCCAGCAGCCCTGATTCAGGATCCAACTCATCTCTACTACCCTCTGAAGGGTTCAGGGAACTGACGGGACCAGCGTCCAACAGGAGCTCATTGTCGTCACCTGGTGAGTGTTCATGGTTTACGCTGGGTGTTGGATCATTTGAGTCCTCGGTACATCCTGATGAGTAAATATCTACGTTCATAGCTTGATCTCCCTCCTGCATGGTGCTGTTATCCTGAGTAGGGTGAAATATTTCCGTTGAAGAACTTCCAAAAGATCTAAAGCTTCCTTCGTCGTCACTGGAGACACGATGTGCCACGCCTGAATCCTGGTCAGCCTTCCTCTTAGTGAGCATATTTCCTAGTGATGACTGGTCAGTCCGTGTTCCTTCCTCGGCACTGTTCAAACCCCAAAAATCAAAACTCTTGGGTTCGTCTGGAGTGAAATCTTGGAGTTTAGTGGTGTCTTCGCTGTGGCTGTCGCTCTCAGCTCCAGTGTCAGCCCCAGAATGACGGGCAGCTTCTGGACCGGAGCCCTGTTCCTGCTCGGCTGCGTAATCCTGACCAGCTGTTTCCTGGTTTTGTTCTTGGCTGTTTATGTCTGGCGGAGGTTCCCCCTCACGGAGGCCTTCTATCAGCAGTAGAGGAACGGCAGATTCACGCTGCTCGATTACGTCACCGCAGGCTATCGCCAACGGGTTGGGGAGGTCTCCTGGAGTTGAAACAGGGTCCGTCAACTCTTCCCTCCCTGCCTCATTTTCTTCCTCCTTATCTGGATTGAACCCATCAAAGGGATCTTGGGGAAGTTCCGTTTGTTCTTCCTCAATGTTCTCTCCTTCCTGAGATCTCAGCTTTGCTTCTGATTCAGTGGGGTTTAAAAGTTCAGAACTCCCCGACAACGGAGACTGGCCCATGACTGGAGAGTCTCCGCTGGCTGTCGTCAGAACCGCGCGCTCTGATCCGCCCTCCTCCTCTCCACTCGTGGCTGCGCCGTCTCCCGCTTCCTGCTCCTCTCCCTCCCCGGCCTCCTGTTCTTCCCGGATCACAGCTTCCTCTGCCTGTTTACCGCAGCCTTCTGCTGGGACATTTCCCACAGTGACGCTTTCCCCTTCAGCCTCACCCTGTGCCCCTTCACTCCTGTCACACAAATTCAACCCAGGACAGGAGTCAGCCTTCCCTTCTCGCTCCCCTTGGCAGCCTTTTCCCTCAGAGTTTGAACTAAGACACACCCCGTCCCCCTGGGGTTCCAGGCCGTGCTGCTGGGGAGGGATTTCTGACGCCGGAGGCAAACTTTCGTCTTTCTCCGAGTTACGAGTCTCGCCTAGTTCACCTACGACGGAGTTGCCGCTCTCCTCTTTGATGCCTTCTCCCTCGCTCCCTCCAGTTTTTGAAATCCAGCACTCTGACGTTGAGTGCAGCTCCTGGAGTCGCTCCTGACAGGTTAAGTCTGTTTTCACACCGTCACAACACTCAGCAGCAGTGTGGAGTGAGTCCAACTGCAGCTCCAAGACAGAAACTCCCTGCAGAGGACAGAAAAACGTTACACTTTGGCTTTATTTTCGTCGAGAAACTAACAGAGCAGCACTCTTTCAGTCTCTTATCAACAGCCAGCTTCTGTGATTACATAAGGTGTTCCACTGCTTAAACAAGCCTGAAGGTTAAAAAAAAAAAAAAAATGAAAAAGACAAACAAGCTGCAAAGACCGGGAGCTGACAGGCTGCCGGATGACACCAGTGGGACAGGAGATAAGGGGTAAGGCGACTCACCTTGGCATGGAGGTGGCCTAAAAAGTGCAGAAGATACTCCACGCTCTCCTGAAGGGTCGGAGCGCTGCGGCCAGGGCGAATGCTAACCGTCAGAGTGTGTGTGTTCAGCGTGGGGGAGTTGCAGCACACCCGAGCATCCGCGGACACCAGCTGGAGAGTTTCAGACGCCTCGTCCGCCTCCGTCTCGGCCCTGCCGTGAAACAAGCGCCGTGATAACTTCCTTGAAAGACCACTCCTGGTCAATAAACCTTCCAGGAAAACGTTTTAAATCCTCCTCTCAAGTGTTCCGACTTAAAGCGTTTTCCGAATATTTTTTTTGCTTGCAGAGACGGTTCCGTAAAGTGGGACGCACCTCCTTGTAGGGCAGATCTGTTTGTGCAATCCTGGGTGGATCGCTTCAGCTCAACGCCGAGGCCCGTTGGCTGAAGTCACCGGCCCGTGCTGAGAGTGACTTCACTTTTCAAGAGCCAAATGTAATCATCAACACATAAAGGGAGGGCTGGACGTTTTAAAACTACACCCGGCAACGGGGAAGCTCTCTAAGTGGCCGTTTTCTTTCAGTTAGTGGCATCCTCATTTTAAGTTAAGTGCAAACTATTCTGCCATAAACACGCAGATCCTCAACCCATTTAGTCAGCAGCTGTTTTGTTTTCTTCCTTGTACTTATGTTTGTCTATAGAGGACTGGCACAATTTGACTCTACGAGTCTTTCAATAAGGAGGGTAATATTGTGGCTAATACCTGACAACTTCAACGGGAGCACAATTCGAATTCCCAAGCTACTTCCCATGACTAAGATGGGAATGTCACTTGCCTACAAATTGTCTCTATCTGCTGAGTTGGAGAAGGGTTGCTTCAGGGGCTGAGTGCCCATGTTCTTTGAATACTTCTATTGTTCAGAGAAGACAATATCATTGTAACAAAGGAAGGAGGAACCAAATTAGCGGTCTTCTGGTTTGCTGCCATACAAGTGTTTGCAGTGATCATCGTTTTCTTCCTTGTGTTGTCCTTCAGTTCCTGTCAATTCACACTTTCGCTGTACATCACACTCATTTTGTACATGTAGACACATTAGTTCTTACCTGTGCTCTAAAACCATCAGTATCAGCTCATTTTTCTTCATAGTTAAATGTTTTCATTAGTTTTGAAGATAAATTACAAAAAATATTCAGGCTCCAAAGGTAATTGAAGTGATATGTATATTATTGTCTTCAAAAAAATCTGTATTTCACTCTATTCCTAGTTATTTTCATACTGATCTCATTGAATATGGCATGGAACCAATGTGTATCAAACCAAAACCCCTCCAAGTCGACCCTGCTGGTAGATTTATAGAGTCATATAGTCACATTTCCCAGCAGTAGAATGCAGGAAATGACTTAAAAATGTCAGGTGGACTGACGGAGGAGTTGGTACCATTTTGTCCTTGAAAAAAACAACAACAACCTATGAATGAATAAATAAAAAAAAAGAAAATCGGGTACAAAATGAACCAAAATTCCAAAGCTACGCATGGGGCAAAATGACCAGGTTATATAGTGTGAGGAAGGTTTGGATGAACCATGGTTTATTTTTTAGAGCAATGTGCCTATAAGAAAAAAATAAGTAAAAAAATAAATATAAAACAGAAAAATGTCTCACTACTACCAATCTGACCATTTTTGAAACACAGGCTACACATGAGTCAGAATGTGAGATAATGAAGGGAATTTTTCTTTGCTATAAGGTCCTGTTACATCTTTCAAATATACGAGTTGCTCTTGGTGTGCTCTAATTCAGAACAGTGGGTGAATACTGAGATCAACGGTGTGGAAATCACAGTTTTCAAATGTGTGATGGCCTAGTGTGCTACTTTACTATGATACATAAATATCATTTTATGTATTTGTTCATATTAAAACATTCAACTGACCATCTGGGGAATTACATTCAGTGCTCCATAAATTTCTTCCAGAGGCGTTCCTCTTTAACCTTTGCTACACACTGCCAGTCATCTGGCTGAAAGAATGCTTTTACGTTTTTTCTTCATAAGTTCAAAATGTATATAGTTTTTGCACAATTTTGCCTTAATTATTGCTTTGACTGATGGCCTTTTTTATATTCCACTTAATGATAAATCAATTGCTGAATTAGTTGATTATTTCAGTAATCAGTTAATCATATTTAATTTGATTAATCACAATTCGTTGAGCCCTAATAGCATGTTTATCATAAAAAAATGTTGAATAATTAATTTCTAATTTTTAAAAGTTATTTAATTACAATATGCTTTCCTTGTTTTGAGCATTTATGCATTTATCTGAGGTCACAGCAGCATGAAAGAGTCAAACCATGCCCACGTCTAAACTGCACTCACTTTGTGAGGAGCTCACGGAGATGCTCGTGTCCTCGTTGTGTCGCCACGGCAGCCGGGGTGTGACCTTCTTTGTTGGTCAACCGAATGGCTTCCCTGGCTCCGGGTTGCCGCAGCAGAAAGCGGGTCACCCGAGAAAGGCCACGCCGTGCCGAGAAATGCAGCAGAGTCTCCTGAGGGCTCGGGCCTGCAGAGGAAGAGACAGAAGATGACAAATGCACCAATAAATACAAACTCCACAAAACAAAGAGAGGCTGAAAAGAGCATGCAGTGGACCAGGGAAACCGATTTGTCGGTGCCACATACCATCACCTGAAGCAGCTCGGCAACACACAAACTCTGCCAGCAGAAACAGGCAGCAGCCCGGTAAACAACAGACATTTCAGATATTTACTGAGTGCTAAAGCTGCAGCTTTATGCTGAATTCTTTTGTGAATAAGGTTTGAAAAAGATGCAACAAAAAATAACAAAACATGACTTTTGTGCAGAAAAACATTCTGAAGCTGGGTCTCACACGAGAACACTGAAATTATCAAAGCCGCTTCACATAGTTTCACCTCAGTAGAGGTGAGCAACATTCAAGTGCACCAGATTCCCAGTTTTAATTTAGCCCGCTACCTGCCCTCTGCCTCTCTCAACCTCCTAATAACACCATAAACTGCTGAGACGGGGCCCTTTAAAATTCCCACAAACAATGATGATTTATGTACACACACGCACACACACACAAACCTCCTCATGTCTGCCAAAGCAACAGGTTCTGAGAAAGGTTGCCTCCAGCTTTAAAGACCAAACTGCTAGCTGATCCACAAACCAGCTCATGTATAAATAAACATCTCTGCATATTTCCTGATATGGCTGGTTAAAAAAAAAAAAAAAAAAAAAAAATTTTTTCAAAAAAGGCCTACTCCCATCTTTCCCGAAA